CCAGAAGCCATTTAAACTATCAGCATATCTTTGGACTGTGGGAGGAAACAAGAGCACCCAGAGGAAACACACATGAATGTGGGGAAAACATACAAGCTATGCAGATACAACCCCAGGAACTAAATGCAGAGCCCCGGGACCGTGAGGCAGCAAAGTTAACCACACTGCCCCCAAAGTTAATTTCATGCATCAAAAATGGACAAGGAATTTACCTCGAGGGACCAGATGAAAGCACATAGTGAGAGGTTAAACTGCACTCTTACCGTATTGTAACTATTCTGTTCTGTCACCTTTTGGATTCTAATCTCACTTTTAGTACCATCTTTGAGACAGAATCATTCAGCTGTGAGAATTGCTACAATCAAGCCTGACCTTACCTGAAACGCTTGACTGATATTGAAAAGGTTTCGAAAAAATCTCTTTTGCCTCCAGAGCGCCACGATATTTTCCAAACGAACAGTTCAATGTCGAAAACACGAGGATTTAAAACCTTAATTTTTTACGAAACAGTTTGAAAGATGCGTGCTGATGACCATTTTGAAATTGCCAAATTAGGCGGCGCATTGAAAAGATCTGATCCGGAGTATTATCTGTCTTTCCAGTAGGGCTCTTTGGTTCCCCAGATGCCCCTGAAGAGCCCACTGCCCTCCCTCATCTCCAGCTCCTTACTGCCCACGCTCTGGGCCTCACAGTGCTGATCGCTCTGGCTCTAACTATTTGCCTGGTCGGTAAGGGACACCATGTTACAGTTCCATCTTCCTGTATGTGAGACTGTTGGACACTGGCTCCAAATGTATGTTTTTTTAACCACTTTTTATTCATTCTAAATTTCCGAAACAGCATAAGAAACACATTCTTTATTTTACATAGAGCTTTTAAAGTAGCTTCTCAAAGCACTTCAAGGCAAGAAAAAAGAGAGTTAACAAAGACAGGAGATAACAACGTTAGCACAGTTAAAGACAGGTATTTAGAATGGAGAAGAAGACAGTAAGGAACAGACACTAGACACCTATTAAATAAAAGCCTTTCTGATGAAAAGGTTTTGAGTCTGGATTTGAAAGAGTTTAGGTGACTCTCTGATATCCTTGGGGACAGAATTCCAGAGTTTTGGGGTGTAGCAAGAGAAGGCCCTCTCTCCCATAGACTGTAAATGAGCTTGAGGGACACACAGAAAAGCAGAGACAGATAAACAACATAATAACTGTGAATTTGGTGCTGTTTTTAGAGCTTAGTACATAATCACTTTTCAGTGTTCTACATACCATATATTTCACTATACTCAAGGATTTTGTAGTAACACAAGAACTATATTATACTTTATTACAGTACATACAGTATGTACAGACTGAGAATTGGGGTGAGGTTTCATGACTCAGCTAGGGATAGACTAGAGTATTTGAATATGTTCATTCAGGATATAGCAGAGTTTGTTTCTATGCCAGCAACAGCTTCAGGAGCTGTATTTAAGCTGTTGTCACCGACCTCTCCCTTCCTTTCCCTCTACCAGTGAAGTTTGTGTGTTTCCCCAAGAAGGGCAAGGAGCCATCTTGCTGGGACCTTGGCACGCCTTGTGGTGAGAGTGGGAACTGCAGTGACTCCATCACCACCTTCCCCTGCCAGGTCAAACAGTTCCCGAATGACACCGGAAACTTCAGTACAGGTAGAAATGGTCTGGTAGCCCTCAGCAGTAATAAATCAGGATGTTTGGTTACTGGATCTAGTCTGGGCTGAGCTTATTGCCTGCTGTAATTAAGATTAACTACAAGTGGCTGAGTCAGGGTTGGATGGATTGACGTCAGCTGGAGAATCTTTGACTCACTACATGCCTTTGCCCCCTAGTGGCTGGTCAGGCACTTACAGGTCAATGCTGTTCCCCAGGACAGCTGTGTTAGACGTCCACTCTGCATGACAGCTCTGCCTTTTGCATTCCATGTTCCACTGTGTGGAAAGAAGGGAGAACCATCAAAGGATGTGTGGGCATTTGATTCTTGGTCCCATATCACTCACAGCTGTTGGAGAAACAAATTCTGCCACCACTACATCAGGATTTGGAGTAAAGCGCCTGAAGACCACCTACTGTATGGGTGATGTCAGACAGAGCAGCTTCTAGGCTAGAGCTCCAGTTCCACTGTGTGCTGCCATCAGTGGTGCACTGGATCTAATCCTTTTTAAATTTCACTTATTGCATGGAAAGGATAATTAACAGGTAGCTGAAGCCTAAATGGTTATGTACTATATAGTGTAGACTATTGAAGTGGGAAGTTCATTGTCTTGAAATCTCTCTACTTGGCCTTTAACTGCTCTTTTTCAAACCCCAGTGCTGCTTGTGTATAGCTGCTAGGGAAATCACAGTCATGTTTGGCCAATGACACAACAGAGTCATTTGGGAGTCCCAGATCTGATCTTCTCAGCTGTCATAAATTTGCTAAGATTGGTCCTGGTCACTACTGGGATGCAAAACCTCCAAGAAAAACTAAGTTGATGCTACAAGTTAGCTTAAATGTCCAAACGAATGCGCTGTTATGGTGGTCAGGGACATTGTACTCAAAGATAAAAACATTACATTTTGATTATGTTATTTTGATTATCTTGATTATGAGATCATTCAGGATCCCATGAAACAATTCAAGAAAACAAGGAAATAAACACCATTAGTTTTGCTAAATTATACTTTGGGCTCTCTCAGTCTGGCCTTCCTTAAACTTCCTCCTTAATTAAGTGAAGCAATGAATCAGTAACCTTTTCTGTTTTGTAATAGGGCTGAATACACACAGTGGTTCTTGCAAGGAATTATCCATTATGATTGTCCTTATGGCTTTCTGTGGGGAGTGTCTCCACAAAGTGTTTTTCACAAATAACCTGACAGAAGGTGCATAAAAGCAATCCACATCACACAAGCAGATGCACATTTTATTTAATTGCAAAGATTATAGAAATTGAACCAGGAATGAGATTCACTTGGAACTGATTTAACCACTTGGTCATCTGTTTGCTTGTCTGTGAAGACAGGGCAGCCTGGTTGTGTGGTGTCGTTATCTACCTGTCAGTCAGTGCCTTGCCTGTTCCGGAGTGTGAACACTGCTGTGTGTCTGTGCGCAGGAGAGGAGTATATGAATCCAGTGCTGCTCTGGGGGCAGAGCTCTCTACTGCGTCTCTATAGCAATCAGAAGCAGAAGTACTACAGTGTGTGCCACCAAGGATTCAACCAGACCTTCGCTAGCCTGTCCTGTGATGTCCTGGGCATCAACAGGTGACACTGCAAACTCCTATTCACACCCATCTCATCAAATGCTTGCATTGACAAAAAATTGCAGCCTTAAGGAATTGCTAATTCACTACCATGTAATTTATATAATGAGTGTGTCAGTTATTGATGGGTATTGTGTAGTGAGTCTCTCTATATACTATATATTTTGCACAACTTATAAGGAAATATTTTGAATTCCTTAATTCTCAAATATCCCAGTTCTTTTTGCATGCAATGCACAAGGTGATCTGTGACTCTAGATTTCTTTATTCATAAAAATGAAAGAAAAATGGAATAAATGTATAAAGTTCTACATAAATTGCATTACTTATGCAATTATGCATTACTTATTGCATAACTCTTTGAAAATGAACACTGTATCCGCAGGCTGTATTGAATTTAGTTTAAAGATTTGCCCATGTAAATATGTTTTATCTTACAATTACAGTATTAAACACTATAGAGATTAAATGATCTTCTGAGACTGTGTGGGGTCAGACTGAGGTCTCTCTATGGTCTCTCTATTTACATAGAACGCCTTAAGAACATAAGGAAGGATACACATGTGAGTAGGCCTTTTGGCCTATTTACAGTACCAAATTGGTACGTAGCATGTATTCTGTCAACTGGCTTCAATATTTTCATTGTGCCTGAAACACGCTTAAAATCAAGAGACACCTAATAGGAGAAAAGTATTTTGTTTAAATGAGGATCTTGATCCTCAGCAGGAGGAAATCCAAGTATTCTAAAGGCCAAGTCAGTTAAATTGATTTTTTTTCCTTCTTCCCTTCTTCTTTCTTCTGTGGGTCTGTATTTGTCTCCATCTGTCCTTTCTGCTCCCAGTCAACCCCAATCAGAGGCAGTAAGTCTTAGCAGTCTACAGCAGCAGGATGTGGGCAGCTTGGCACTGATTAAGGAATCAGAGTTTGAGCACAGGGAGCCACTTCAACCGGTGTGAGTGTCCGCTGACTACACAGCTGACCAGTGCTTTACTGCTTTAGAAAGAAAAGCATCTTATTACAAAGAGCAGATCTGTTAAAGACTGGAGTTGTAAAAGTGATTAGTGCTTAAAGCGATCATCCCATCATGGGAGAAATGAAAATACCATGCACATGTCCATAGAACTCTACACAGTCATCAACCACCTCCTTTCAATTTACAAGCTCGAAGTGCACTGCTGTAGCTCTTCCTGATAACAATAACAGCACTGTTGTCGCCGTTGTTACAAGAACTTAAAATGCTCACGGCACTGCTTCGCATACTGTGGACCAGCCCTTTGGGATTGCAGATTCCTTACTTGTTCCAATACATTGTGCTCTGAGTGGAGTCCCCTCAGGATCCATGAATTATTGATGGTTGCTGCACAAAACACAAGTTTGATCTGCATGCTGGTTTAAACGAGATCTTGCACGAAACACTATTGAGTTCCCAATTAAAGCAAATATGGACCAAACAACCTTTCTTATCTGGTAACCTTTATCCAGATTTCGAGCTCTTACTCCTGACCTATTACAGACAAGAATCTGGTTAAGTTATAGGCAAATCAATGTGTGCTTTGCCCTTCATAATCTGCTCAATGTGTTTGTGCTCTCTGTAGTGCTGCCTGCCCCCAGGATAAGCTTGTGTCTCTGCACTGCACAGGTGAGGACTACCTCTGCTACCCACTGTCTGTGATCTGTGATCACGGTCAGTCAGAGACATTCATTTGTGACTCATGTGGTCATTGCAATTTTATACGAGAAATAATGAAAAATAAAAAATCACAGACATACAGTATACCTTTTTCAGTTAATGTTCTGCACAGTGATCAGGAATGTAATGAATAGATCATGCCTTGCATTTGTTCTTTTGTGCTAATGACTTGATTTTGTTAGGTTTTAAAATGTATTCCACATTTTCACTCTGTCCCATGACGCACAGGAAAAACTAAACTTTCTTTGTAGGCTAAAATTAATATTTTAAGTGTCTAAAACTACTTCAAAGGTAATAGTTTTTTTCAGTCACCAGAAATCTTGTAACAATAAGTCGATAGAGCCTACTGTGTTTTACGCAGGGTGTTGTGTCTTATAGACAGCTGATCATTTTAACAGCATCGTTCTAATCTAATCTAATTCTACCCCTAAGACTGTGGCCGCCCTGCTCTCACCCCAGGGCGCATCTTGGGGGGCACTGTGGCCGCACTGGGGCGATGGCCTTGGCAGGCCAGCCTTCAGTGGGAGGGCCGGCACGTGTGTGGGGGGTCAGTGGTGTCACAGCGCTGGGTAGTCACAGCTGCACATTGCTTCATTCTGTGAGTAAAGTCTTACCTGGGTCTTTTCAAACCCTTAATCTGCCTCTACTTTTCACCTGTCTCCCTGACACGTAGTCAGGGGCCATGATTATTCATTTTCATATCAAATACCCTAATGCAGTTCAACTTATAATGCAATACATCTATTTACGCAGTGGTTAGCATTGCTGCCTCGCAGTGCTGGAGGCCTGGGTTGGGTTCTGGACTGGGGCTGCTGTCTGTGTGGAGTTTGTACGTTCTCCCCATGTTCGCACTAGTTTTCTCCCAGGTGGTGTGGTTTCCTCCCACAGTCCAAAGACAGACTGGTAGGTTAACTGGTTTCTGGGAAAACTGGCCCTGGTGTGAGTGTGTGCGTGTCCGTGTCTGCCCTGTGATGGACTGGCATCCCATCCAGTCTGCCTTGGGCCTGTTGCTTGCTGGGACAGACTTTGGCTCCCCTGCGACTCTAAATTGGAAGAAGCCATTCGAAAACGGAATGGATAATGTATATACTGTAGATACAAATGTATGCTGACAAAATGAAAAATAAGGCATCCATAGCAAAGCAACACAAACATGCAGTTTTTATATAAACACTTCTAAATTATAACTATTTGCAGTATCTGTTCAAAACACTGCCGGGTTATCTGACTTTTCCATACTTCTCTGTGTCTTGGTTTGTTACAATCCTTCAATGGAAATCATTAATCGCACCACTGTCTACCTGTCGTATCTCTCTTCCCCAGAGAGTTACTGCCTGCCATTCACTGCCATTCTAGACGGTTCCTCTGTTTCCCTCAACACTGCTGAGAGACTTCTTTTCTGCTGCTTTCTCTCTCAGTTTATTTCCCTTTCCCTTTAACCCCTGAGTTGTGTCTCCCTGTGCTATCCAGGTATGACTTGCTGTCACCTGCGAAATGGAAAGTGCTTGTTGGCACAGTAAGCCGGAGTGGGTTCATGTCAGGCACTCAGTATAATGCCCAAAAAATCCACTACCACACTGGGTTTAAGCAGAGCACCAATGACTACGATATCGCTCTGCTCCGGACTGCCACCCCCATCTCATTCACAGGTCAGAACACCACAGAATGATGGGAGAGCACCATGTGTCACTGTGTCTGCTTCTGTGACTGTTGTTTCTGGGTTTGTGGCTACACTGTCCCCCATCTGTCTCTAGCTGTCTGATTATCTGCATGACCATGTGAATGAATGTTTCAATTAGTGATGGTCTGTCTATGGGAGTGGCTGTCTAACCCTGTTTTGTGTGATTTTTAAATAAGTCAATTTTATTTTGTGTTTTCATTTACTCTTATGTATTTTTCATGACATCTTATGATATACTGTATGTACTTGTGCAGACTGAGTTATTAGTTATCTGCCAGAAATGGGAATGCTGAACCAAAAAGTGATACATTTTAAAGGGTGTCTATTGATCCCTTTAACAGCTGGTATCCATGGGAACTTTATCTCTTAGTTGGGAATATTGCCTATCCTGGGGTTTTGCTTGATTGATTCCACAAACTCTGATTCCTGGATGAGAACTAAGAACAATTATTGGAGCACTAAAACATCAAAAACGTCCAGTAACAGATAATCAGTGGTGAGATTAACATGCAGTTCCTGTTGCCTGATTTCCACTGTGCCGGAGTGACACGACGGAGAAACAGTGCTGATGATGCATTGTGTTTTGCTAGACACGGTGCGGCCAGTCTGCCTGCCTGCTTATGGGCAGATCTTCCCTTCTGGAGAGACCTGCTGGATCTCAGGCTGGGGTTTCACGGCAGAGGGGGGTGAGTGTTTCACACTCCTCTTTCAACAAACACACGTTCTCTCACCAGCACTCAAAAAACAAGCAGCTATTAGAAGATATGTACTCTTACAGTCAAAAGGAGGTCATTCAGCTTACTGAGACATGAAACCAAATTGTTTCGGGAATGGCCCCAAGGAAATGGAGACAGCTTTATCATCAATTCTTCCAGATTGCCCCTTGATCTGTATATAAAGTGCATCCAATCTTCAGTCTCAAAATCTCTCTCTCTTTAGTTCCATTTGTATTCTCTTACTATGTTTTATTGTACAGCTTGAAGAAGCTCTACAGTTGGATTGACTTAGAGTGTTTTCAGTACTGAAATTAATTTCCCTCATAATCTTTTCTATAAAAGATTAAATCTTTTGGTCCCTTAACCTATTTGTATACCATGCCTGTGACATCAAGGATAATTCTGTTCTATGTTTTGATCACCTGATGTTTTCCAGGTCTGAGGAAGCGAAAAGACTCAGCTTTAACAGTCGGTTACAAACCGACTGTCCTTTCCTGACACCCAGTGCTATATTTTGCTAGACTATTTCCTGGGCTTTGGTACCATGAAAAAAACTGCTGTTCCTCTGCAAGCTGCATTGGACTGAAAGCACTCTCACCTGCGTGACATATTCAGACTGAAATTCAAATAAGATTTTGTGGGGTTTAAGGTCTGAGGGGAATTTGAAACCCAGAAACGTTGCCCATTACATTGCAAAGTTTCATTGAGTGGGTTCAGGAGAAAGAGGGGGTCCACTGTCCACACTGTGGCGTGAACTGGACACCCATTTATTCCTCTGCAGGCCCTATCTCTCTGGTTCTCAGAGAGGCTCCTGTTCTGCTCATTAACAACAAGGTTTGCAGCACAATGGATATATATGGCATCAACATCACCCCTCGCATGGTGTGTGCAGGCTACATGGACGGTGGGATCGACTCATGTCAGGTAAGAAACCTGAGGAGACCCCACAGATCTTATTCAGCAGTCTGCACCAAAATCTGTAACATGAATACTGTTCATCAACTTTCCCAATGGTGCACAATTTCATGGTATCCCACTGTATATACAGTATCTTCTTTGCTCTGCCTTGGACGTTCGGTATGGGATTGACTGCAACGACCACCAATGGGTAATTTTTATCACCCTTGAAGTACCCTTGCCTCTTGTTTTCATGATAACTGAGCTATGAATTATCCCATTGAAGTTCGGTTGGAAAACTACTGTAAGTGAATTTTAACTGTTTTTACCACAGACATGAATGAGAGACACCTGACAATATTGTCTCTGCGTGAGCTCTTTGGCGCAATCAATGCCTCCTGTTACCAAGGAAACCTTTCAGTGAAAACATGGCTTTGTCATACAAGTGCTAATGCACACATATTACTAACACTGCACAATCCACCACAAGGTTGTGTCCATACATTATTCGGGCCGGAGTGCAGGGTGCTGTGTTGTTTCAGGGCGACAGTGGAGGTCCGCTGGTGTGCCTGTCAGACGGCTCCTGGAAGCTGGTGGGCGTGGTGAGCTGGGGAGAAGGATGTGGCCGGCCAAACCGCCCTGGGGTTTATACCAATGTGACAGAGCTGCTGGACTGGCTCTACTATCACATACAGGCAAGGGCTCTTGGCACTGAAATTGTAACGAGAGCCGGGCCAGGCTCCCACGAAGTGTAGTTCAGGACCCTATGCAGACAGTATAATCCGGAAGTAAGTGGAGAAGGACATCAGGAGAGGAGATGAAGGGATCAGGACGGGTTGACAGATAGGGGGGCATGACTAGGCTGAGCCGGTGCTCGGGGGGCATGGCACAGGCAAACGAGTCCAAAACAGTCCAAATAGGAAAACGAGGGTACAGTCTAATATCCAAAAACCGGGAAGTCCATCCAAGACGAAGACAAGAATAAAAACAATGAACGGGGACAAGGAACCAGGGACAAGAAAGTTAAAAATAGACTGAAGAGGCCAGGTGCTTCGAGCTCCGGACTCAGCAGGGTCAAGACGCCGATAGGAGGCCTATGCCCTCAAGCCGTGGATGTAGGGCGACTTGATGCTAGGCAGGCCTCTGGGCGTCCGTCTTCCAATGCAGAGCCAGGAATAGCGAGAGCACCCGGCTTAAATAAGGAGGGACAAACAGAGGGCAGGTGCACATAAACAACTAAAATATGGAGCGCCAAAGCGCCCTTAAGAGGAGGGATTCCGATCCTGACAGAAGTGGGTCATTGGAGGGGGTGACCAGATAGCTGGTCCTCTTTGGAAGGGAGGTTGGGGCAAAGGCAAAAGTTGCAGTGTAGAATAAAGTAGCACAGCAGAGTTGTGAGCTTCCACTTTCCAAATACTCGTAATACAGGTGAGATTTAAATGTTTATTCTTGACTGTCTCTTTCCAGAAGGAGTTCCAAGGGATTTTCTACCTGAATGATAGAGAAACAGAACAAAACGAGGTGCAAAGGCTGAATGGCATTCTCTACATTTAGGCAGTTAAAAGAGAACAATCTGTCTTTGACCAGGGTTATGTTCGATAAGCAAAGCACTTTGAGGCCACGACAAATAGAAACTTTACGGAAATGTTACTTTGAAGAGTAATTTGTGAAGGAGTTTTCAGAAATGTAGCAATAAACAAATATATAAACAGGAGTTGTTCAGTACAATGTTCTGTACTCCTGTACACTTTTCAAAATGTAGAAAATGTTTGAAATTGAGCTCCACAATGTGAGGAGCTTTAAGGAATGAGAATTAATTTTAGGCAGCCAACATGTTACATGTACAGGAGCTCTTGTATTAAGTCTTAAACTTTAAATGGTCAAAAGAGTGATGTTCCTTTCAGTTTATTTTTTTAAATAACTCAGTTTTTTTCTCTTTTTTTTGTTGCAGGCAGACAAGGATTTGCCCTGAGTCTCCCCCAGGTGGAGAGCAAAAAAACAAATGTTTATAATCCCTTTATAATAATCACCCATTTTGTGAGGGGAAGAGGGGAGGATCACCATAAGAAATAACAGATATTTATTAAAAATAATTTTGTAATCTTTTTGAAACAATTTTCAACTTGCAGTAATAAAGTGAGACAATATGCCATAATTCTATTATTTATTATATACCTTTTTCTGAACATTCTAGATACTGGCACACACTCACTGAAAGTGCTGGCCTAGGCAGAAATCAGTCATTCACCTGATTCCTCCTCACTAACAAAGCCATTTAAAACTGCAGCCAAGAAAACACTGCTTTGCAAAATTCACCCATGACAGAAAGACAACCATTAGGACTACTGTACATGAAGGGCTTTGGATAAAAAGTCAGGTACTGAGTGTGTGACAGTTATTTGTCACCAGACAAGCTATCACGTATGAGATCCAAGAAAGGAACAAACAGGGGTAATTTGAACAATGACAACAGACAAGCCACATCATTCGGAGAGCTACTCATTTCCCAACATGTTGAACACAGCAGTTAAAAGACCCTTTACTTGTATTTGAAAGCCCAGACTTTAACTCATGGCACAAAGACCAAAGTGTGTATTGCGGTATAGGGTCATGCTTGACACATGCTCTGGACAGCCCACTCAAAGTGCTTTACAGGTAATGGGGACTCCCCTCCATCACCACCAATGTGTAGCTCCCATCTGGATGATGCAACGACAGCCAAAGTGCACCAGTGTGCTCCCCATACACCAGCTCTCAGTGTTACGGAGACATGGATGTGTACTGCATACCCGTATTTAACATCAAGTTAGTCAAATATCAATCGGAACAATTATTTGAATCCTCTTTCATCTGTTTCATTTTTCTCTTCGTTTAAAATAAACCTATAGAGCTATGGTTTCTATTAATAATATAAATGTATTTTTCAACATTTTCCAAGAGTGGTTTCATGTACATGTGCGATTGGCAGGGATCAGACAGGAAGAGAAAACTCTGGAGCAACTTCATAGACACAACTGGCTGCTACAGAATAGGACGTAATTCACTTACCGTAAGATAAGATAAGATAAGATCACTTTATTGGCCATATACAATTTCTTGTATGAGGAATTTGTCTTTTTGCATACCCCAGCTTGCTCTCCATGAGACACACACAGAGAGAGAGAAGGTGTAGGAGTGTTCAGGAGTTGCTTAAAAACTAATTTTATTTTCCTAATTGTATTGCCACATTTCAACCATCACTTCAATCATGATGGTAAAGACCCACCACAAATACATTTTATCATTAGGTGCTTGATGAAAGAGTGTTAGGGCCTCCAAAAAACGTTTTGTGGGGTGGGGGGGAATGTAAAAAAAATTGTTTAGGAAGAGTCAAAAAAGAATAAAGCTCATGTTTTTTTAATACAAGAAATTAAGAAATGTCCCTAAGAAGGGAGATGTTTGATATATGTCACTCATTGGTATTTGGACCAGTCAGTTCTGTTAACTTGGAAAGGATAATGCACCAAATGGTTGAATCTGCTAATCCCAGATAAATGTTTCACTTCTCTCCAATACGGTTTGACCCCATAAAAAGCTTTTTTTTTGTTCACACACTCTCACTTTCACTCTGTATGAGACGCCGTTAACTATTGTGAGCAAGTTTAATAATTTTGGGAAGAGCAGTGTTTTTAAAACGCCTCAGTTTTGATCATTTACCGTGCAAAAACATGAAGAATCATGAAGAATTAAAATACGTTGGGGGAAATAAAAGCAGACAAAATTCTAACAGCAGGTTTTTTGTACTGACAAAGCAATACTTTTTTTGTTTATTTTTTTGCGACAAAGTAATACTCTTACTAGCTATTTTACAACAACACACGTGGGGGGCGGGCTTACGTGTCGTACTGTAGGTGGGGCGGAAGGGTTTACAATTTGGGTCTATAAATAAAAATGTCCTTTTGGATGTTACGGTGGTATCGCGTAAACATTTAGTTGGGCAATAAAAGGTAACATTTATTGTTCTGGCTAAGGGCACTCTTTTTACGCTTACGTGCTCCGTCACCCCGTCAAGGAAGTATCTCTGCTACGAGTCATGCAATGAGAAACACATAGGCCACGGAGCTGGGGAGAGGAAAGTTCACTTTTCAATTGGTTTCTCGCCCCTGGGCCTGTGCACTCACACTGCCCCAACCGGCTTGGCAAAACCCGACTATATCAGGACTTCTTGGCTGACAACCCGATCATTATAAGAATGAGCTCTGCGGTGCTCCGCACGTCCAAACCCGCCCTTGGTTTCGCCTCGCTCGTCAGACTTGCCGGGCAGTCGAACGGGTCCCAAGCCGGTCTGACTCGCACTCTCCTCGGCTCACTGAGCTCCTGTCACCCGCTGCACCGCAGGAGCTGGAGACACTACAGTGTGAGGATGGATCAGAGGACCGGGCTCCTGTTCAGACAGGTGGGCTGTGGGGTCACTAGTATTGATCCCGATCGTCTCGTTATTTTGTTATTATTTCCGTGTGATTTCATTCGGAGGTCATCCAGCTCCCATGATACGCTGACTGAAGTGATCGCTCTGCCGAATAAAAACAGGAAGTTTACCATGTGCCAAAATACAAACTTCAGATACATTTTAAAGCCTTTCATATGGAATTCTGAACTTTAAAGCAATTTATTGAAAGAACTGTAAGCCTAATAATGATATCATTAACTTTGTCATACCAACTGATGCTTTAAAATAAATTACGTCTTAACTTTCTGGGTTATGCTTCTAATTCGCAAATATAGAGCGAATCCACAGCGTCACCAAGTTGCTGTCAGTAGTAGGTTGTTAGGCTGTTGTTGTGACTGTAGTCTAGCCTCATTAAAAGCATCCTGCTAATTGCTGAAGTGATGGCTATTGAGTGACAACTGACGGAGAAGTGGCGCTGCCTGTACCAGACTCCTTACATAGAAAAGCGTGAATTTTAAGGGTTGGGAGAAGCAATACTGCCATTTTATGGAAGCTGGAACCAAGCATTAAGTCAAATTGAAATAATTAATACCCTAATGCTGTTATTAGTGTTATTAATGTCATTACCAGTTACAAAGAGATCACTTAGCCAGCCAGTAAAATTCAGTTTTTCCTTTTACTTGAGGAAAGTCAGCACTTCAACACAAATCTTTGGGTTCCTCATTCAAGAAAGTCACAAAATCTTTATCAGCAGTAGCATTCAATGAGTTGTGCAGCTTGGAATGTTTTGAAAATCCCCATTGAATTTGCTTTGTGAGCATGACCTTGCCTATTTCAGTGTAGGACTTAATGGTAACCTGACTCTCTGACCTTTGGCTGATGTTTGAAGTATTTCTCCATTCCACACGAACTGCATCAGTATATAAAATCCATCCTGTGTTAAAAAGTCACTAAACCTAAACAAGAATTGAATCTCTTTATTGCCAAAGTTTCCGATAAACTCAGTTGATGCATCATAGTAGAAAATAGAAAAACATTGAGTCACTATTTACGGTATACATTGGCTTATATAGATTGGTTGATTTCTAGCATTTGTTAATGTCTTGTTGTTACCTCAGTACCATGGTATAGGAGAATGTTTGTTGTAAATGTACAATAAAGTACTTCCCAGTTTTCTGTTTGCAGTACACAATGTTTTTTGTGTTACAGTATGTGGTGTAGGTGGCACCATTTTGAAGTTGGTGCACAAGACATGCTAACACTAGTCAAGATCAGTTTTGTTGCCTTCTTGACAAAATGCAAAGTTCCCATTAATTACATTCCTAAAACATGCTCAGCTCTTCATAGCAAACCTTTGGTCTCATTTTGCAACCTTTGTTAAAACACATACAGTGGTAAATTATGTGTGATTACTGTTGCTGGATTATTACTGTTAAAAGATTATTGCACTGCGTGTAATACAATGTGTGCAATGCAGATTTACTGGGAGCAATGTGTTGTTGGTTGGAAGAATAATGACTTGCATTGTATTTTCATTTCTGGTGGGAATTCCTACATTCAGTGCTAGAAACTACAGGACTTCATCTAGTTACCACTGTGAACCTTGACAACCCTTATCTTTTATAGTGGTACCTATCTTAGTTTACTGTAAGGTAATCACTTCAGTTTATGACTGCAATTAAATGTATAAACCCGTGATGGAGTAAGTGTTACAGAGGAGTACACTTGAATGACTGGCAGCTGGGTGGTACGGTTGTGTTCCCTAGAGTGGGTTAATGACCCTCAAGACACTCTGTCCAGTGGATTAAGCATGATGCTAGCGACCTGCTAGCGACCTGTTAGGACCTGTCACACTGAAGCATTTGTCTGAAAACGTTTGATGGTAGAATCTGTTGTCAAGCCACACTTCTGAGACCATTAAAAACAATTTAATGAATGTCTTTCTGCACATGTTTTTGAAAAAAGGAAAAACAGTCACCAGCTGCCCTAATGAAAAAGATTAAATGTCATTTCTTAAGCCTTTGTCCAGAATGGTTCAAATTCTAGAACACAGTATTGTAATGTTAGAAACTCACAACTTACTGGAAACTATCTTCTGTGGCATTGGATAGAGTTGTTAATCTTAGTTATAAGAATTATTATGCTGCATTTACTAAGTCATGTCAGTCAGGGTGCTCCTGTGCAGTCTGGAGGGCTGGTGTCTCTGCTGTTGTTCCATTCCAGTCCAGCCTTTAAACAACCTCAAGTAGCTTGTTAATGACTCAAATTTATTAACATCGCAGCTTCTGCAGATATTAAGATGGCTCTGCTTTAAATTACGTCTTCACCTATCCACTATCATATTTCTAAGTAATAAGGTACTGTAATTTTTTCAAAATCAGTCAAAGTCAAGTCAGTCATGAATGAGGAATTAATTCTAATGACCCCCCAAAACAATTGAAATTTAAAATCGACAGTATATGCTATATTGTCCTAGAAACATGCATGTGTAAGGATAGTTATATTTTTGTTATATGTTTCTTTAAATACTTAGTATATTCCTAGCTTTGTATTTTTGCTTTACTGTCCCTGTGTCTCTGCAGGTTTTCTTGGTCTCCTTAACCCTTAATGTTTGCATTTTTGCATAAGAAAGTGTTCATATATTGTAGTATATACTTCCTTTGATGGAAAAATATAACTAAAAAAGTTTTCTTTGTTGTACAGCACTATGTACAGGCAGTAAGACTTAAAAGTCTGAACAGATCTCTCTGCGCTTATGTTGTGTGTACCTATGTAGTTTAGTCAAATGATATTAAGATGTCTCGTGAAAATCAAGAAAGAAAGTTCCTGTTCATGCTCACTTAGTATAGCAACCGCAGTAAATAAGGTGCAGACTTACCAAGATTTACCAAGCTGTTAATAGCAACAGGAAGCATGAATCAGTAAAAAAAATAGATTGTGATACCTGTCACGTAGTACAGCAGTGAACGTAACAGTGGATATGTAGTGAAAGGTCCACAGGTGCTTTCTGATTGGATGGTCTTTCAGGAAGTGCATAATAAGGCCTGAGTCTGTTCAAGTTCATAAAAACAGGTGTGCGCAAAACCTCCTGGGAGGAGTGTTGTGGTTGCAGCCTAGTGTATTTGCAATCTCAATGAAACACACTTTTTATGTTTTTTTTTATGAAACTGCTTCTGCTTTGGATATTCAAGTTTTTCAAGAACGGAATTAAAATTGTATTTTACCTATAAGAATTAAATAACAGTAGTTTATAGATATAAATTATTTCCTTGAACATCTAGTGTACAATTCTGAGTTTTTTCATGTTTTTGTAATGTGCACTTTGATCATCTGTCCCAGTCTTTTGAATCAACAACTCTTCTATAATGCCTGTTGCCATACAGTTGACTGTCAAGAATGTACTGTAAGTTGTCTGTGTATTCTAACTTGATGAATTGTATGTCTCTGTGGAGCAAATCATCATGGGAACTCAGCTTTGCAGAGCTTAGCAGGCAAGACGAATCACAGTGAAAGTGTTCTGTATAATGATTTGAAATTACTGGATGCTCAGCTCATGAAAAACTCAAGCATGAAAATTGGCAAAAAAAGCCTCCTAGTGTGTTCTCATTTAGTGATGACTGCTCCAAACTCACCCAAGCAGCTTTGTGACTGTGCTAACACATTAATGACCCTGCACACGATATTGGAAGTGAAGAAGTGATTGGATGGTCCATCAGGGCCCATAAGAGACTACTTTCTCAGGCAGCTCAGAAAGTTTGGTACAGTATGTCTCAGGAAGCCATGATCCATTTTTACAGGGCAACTTAGCCTCTCGGGAGAGGAAACAGCAGGAGAGAGAGGTCCACACTGCTTCTGAAAATACTTGGCTGTGACTGATCATCTGTTACTTCCATATAGGCAACACTTTTAAATAGAAGAACTCTGAATATTATCAGTGACCACTCCTACACAGCCTTTTCCCTGTTATAAATATTACAATATTTCTTGGTAAATTGGTGGATTCTATCTTCACTGTAATGTAGCATCGTTTTGTATTTTGCATATGATGTGCGGGATTTAGGATTTTTCTTCCCCCTTCTTCCATCTGTCTTGTTTTTGTATCTGTGTAATTTCGGGCACAGCAGAAGGGCTGGTTTGACCACGAAGTTGACTTTGGAAGGTCCAGACGCGCCAGAATGTGGTGAACTGTCACGCTCTCTCTTCCTCTAGCTGTTCGAGTCGCAGAGCAGCACGTACACCTACCTGCTGGCTGACGCCCAGACCAGGGAGGCGGTTCTGATCGACCCAGTTTTGGAGACAGTGGAACGGGACGCTCGGCTGGTGGAAGATCTGGGGCTCAACCTCACAATTGCGGGTCTGTCGTCACGTGACTTTCCCTCTCTTTTCACACTTTTCCCCACCTGCAAAGAGCCCTACCCATCAGCCCCTCTTCTCTCAGTCCCCCTAGATTGACTGACGACTGTTCATGCCAGAACGTGGCCTTTTGTCATCTTTTTCCACACCCAGTCAACACCCACTGTCACGCGGACCACATCACAGGCACGGGACTGCTGAAGAAAAGACTGCCGGGCTGTCACAGCGCCATCTCCAAGGACAGCGGGGCCACCGCCGACATCCACCTCAAGGAGGGAGACAGAGTTACCTTCGGCAAATATGTACGTCCACGCACCCGAGAAACTGATAAGCACATATTGCTAAGAAGGTGCTCCTCTGCTACAGCTTCCAACTTTCTGAAATGCTACTCTTAATGAACTGTCTCTTCGTTTACTGCTTCGAATGAGCTTTTACCTTGCAGCAACCACAGTTAAAAGAACTTCAGGCAAAATGTCGGCTTTTCTCAGTTTGCAGGATGCTTTTAATTAAATAAGGGAACCATGAGACTGCAAGAATAAGTATCATTGCTTCAAGCAATGTTCAATTATGTGTAAATATTTGATAAGTGACAACAGAAAAGCTAAGAGTAGTGTATATAATGTATGTCTAGAATAGAGGACATGGCCGATAATGTCAAGCCCTTTGGGTCTAGCTTGGATTTTAAATTTAATTTGGGGCATCTTGTCTCCATGGAAAACCGGAGACATTAAGCGGTGATGCCTTTTGAAGTATGGATGTGAAGATATTCCAAGATACCCCCTTTCCTGATATATCATCCTGTTTGTAACCCCTGGGCTTTAACTACACAGTTGAATACTCAATGTTGACAGGTATGCCACAAGATGAAGTCTCTTTTAGGTTTGTAAGTGTGTAGCTGAATTGACGGCTGCTTTCCATATTGCTTTTTATATCATCTACCTGTTTGCCCTCTCAGTCCCTGGAGGCTCGAGCCACTCCTGGACACACAGACGGCTGTATGACCTTCGTCCTCAATGACCAGAGCATGGCCTTCACTGGCGACGCACTGCTGATCAGGGGCTGCGGACGCACTGACTTCCAACAAGGTACTGACCGCAAACCACAGTCGAGCCCCACTGAGTAAAGGGAGCAGTATTCTCTATTATCATGAGCGCTGGGTGGTATTTTCTGACAGTCATTTTATTGATATCTAAAAATTGCGATTCATTTTCTCCTTTTTTAAATTCAATCTCACATAGATACTGTATGTTATTGAGTAACTGTGTAAACCCTTTCGGTTGTAGTTGTAATAAGGTTTTGTCTCACTAGATGGCAACAGAGCAAAGCAGATTCCCAGAAACACAGCTAGATAAGGCACCGCAAGCTGTATACTCCTGTGGTTTTCATTTCCACCTCTGATTTTAGTTATTTAGTTGAACTGGTTAGTTGTATATTTGTATTATCCTATTTTTTTTAGGGTTTAATCAATTTCTAATCAAAAACAGTTTTCTCCACTCTTCAGCCCTTTTAGTTATTGAAATTCTGTGTGTGAATATGAATCACAAGCAAACATTACCATCTTAAGAATGTAGTTTAATACCAGGGAAAATAGTGTAATTACACTTGGCGTTTTGTTGAAATACAAGACAAATGCAAATAGAATTATGTAAGCAGAAAAAATGCAGACAGTATTGTGGAGGTTAGCCCTTCTCACTGTGGTTAGTTCAGTCCAGGGCTGGGAATGTATGTGGAGTTTACATTTTCTGTCCATATTCAAATGAATAATCTTCACCTTCGCCAGATTCTTCCCACCTTCCTACACGCATGCTATGATAGCAAGGGCAATGGGTTTCACTATTATAAGATTCCAGACACATCTTTATGAGTTTTATTATGTTTTAGACACATCCTCATGGCCAGGTTTCGTAAGTATTTTCTGAAATGTAAAAAGCATTAGGAAATGTATTTTACTTCAGAGACCAATTGAGCCTTTATTTTGTTGTTCACACTACATGTAGCATGTTACAGAAAATACGCAGTAATACACATTATGAATGTTACAGATTATGGTGAAGTTCACTGACAATCTGGAGTTTTCAAAGAAACAAAATAGTCTGTTGTCTGAAAGGCATTACTGGACGTGATGCAGGTTGTGTGGAAAAATATCAACATACAAAACAAGTTACAGAACATTGATTCTTCTGCTTGATGCTGCATTGGGTTTGCATGCTGTCACACCAAATATACTCTCAAGTCTTGTCCTTTCCAGCCTCTATAGCAAAGCATAGCATCCCATAAGAAGGTGTTGAACATTTCAGATCTTAGTGAGCATCTTGGTCATTAAAGATTAAACATTAACAGCTAAATGGAAAAGCCATTGCTCTATTTATCGTTTCAAAGTTATATTCTTAGTGTATTCCACATTAGACCTTGTGTCCTATCTAGGGTGCAATCTCACATTTTTCCCTGGGGTTGCCACTATCCTTCGTAAGAATAAGCTGCTTTCCACTAATGATATGGTAATAGATGAATGATTTCCTTGTTGCCCACCTGCAGGTGCTGTCCGTTTGTAAATTCTTTGGTGAAAGTAAGCCTGTGCAGTCCAGTACTGCCTACAAAAGAAAAAAAAATGGTTCTGGTACAAACTAGATATTTTAGCAAGACTGTGTTTTTTATTTGGACCCATAACGCACCAATTTCAATTACACCACCGGTCTGTGGCACTGTGCGTGTTGTTGTTTTAAATTCTGTCCAGTAAGAATAATTGTAACCCAGGTTTTTTTACATAAGAGCCTGTAGACTAAAAATACTATAGACGGGGTTCTTGATTGAGCATTCAGTGATGCTATTTCACTTGCACCCCAATTGAGCAAATGGAGAGCACAAGACCCCCCCATCCTTTAACCCTCCCCCATGCCCCAGGTAGTATGTTATAGTCCATTGCCCATTTGTTGATCTGGGCAGAATGGAACAAATAAACCTCAACATCTTGTTCAAGGCCAGATCCGTTGTGCCCATCCTGCTGGTTTGAATGCATTCTCCTGCCTGTGTATTCTTCAGCACTGTAAACACTGCTCCAAACCAACAACTTGGACATAAAGTGTCTGAGTCTCACTTCAGGTTCAGTGTAAGCGACCCATACTGTAAGTCATCTGGGGTGCTTTGCCCTTTTTTTTTGGGGGGGGGGGTTCCCTCTATATTTTGTTCGGTCAGGATGGCAAGCCCCACTTTCTGTGGTTAGGCTTTTCATGATCAATTTTGCCGTGGTACAGCAGAGGCCTCTGCCGACGCTTTCCCCCATGCTGTTTAGTGTCTCTTTCTCTCAAGGCTGCGCTTCAGCCCTGTACGAGTCTGTGCACAAGAAGATCTTCACCCTGCCTGGAGAGTGCCTGGTGTACCCTGCTCACGACTACACGGGTAAGAGACTCCTCCTCCAGCGTCTAACTCTAGGGTGAGACAGCTCCCAATGGCTGGTTGAGATTTTATTGCAATTAAACACTGGACACTGCAATTAAGTGTTTATCATGATGTCAGACTCAATATATTTAATATAATAAAGGCTAGATTTGACCAGTGAGACAGTCTTTAGGAACATGTACATGGTGCGGCTACTGGCAAATGGGGAAGTAAAGAGAAATTTGGGCACATTTAGAAAAAACAATACCCTTAATGTGCAGGAAGTGTATAATCCAAAGGTCAGGAAAACAAAAATAAGATTGCAAAGTGGGTTAATGAATAAGTAAGTAGAGAGCTGATACAATAATGTTTTAACCTTTACCCATAGGACAAGTCTGATTCATTAAGATAAGATATAACTCTTTTTAAAAAAGGAAATCAAGACTCAGTGGTATCTTGAAGATAACTTGGCCAGTGGTGCAAAAGATCACTGTAAAATAAACCCCATTTTTCTTTTAGTGATTTTTATGAAGTATAAAATATAAAGAGGAGATAACTTTTTTTATTATGTGTTGTAGGGGCTAAACCATGCATAATGAAGGGGTATTGTTAATATGATGAATAACTACTTCACTGCCCTATAGACAACTAGCAGTGTCACAAATGTGCCCTTTGCTGTAGCTGTCAGCACTGATTGTCATTCCAGATGATTTCCTCGGGCAATGTGGGTGAAAGCCCCAGGCCAGGCTGAGTGTGCTGCTGTCTCTCTCAGGTCAGTCAGTCTCCACGGTGGATGAGGAGCGCCGTCTCAACCCCCGTCTGACCAAGAGCTTGGAGGAGTTTGTGAAGATCATGAATAACCTCAACCTTCCCAAGCCTAAACAGATTGGTAAGAGCGCGTCTCCATGGGCTCGCTGGAAGAGCTTGTCACACACATCCTGGCCAGACAGGTGTTCAGAAAATCCGGTCCCTATCATTTTTTCTAGAAGTTGGGCTTTGCGGTTGGAATTTAGAATCACAGATCATAATGAAGGTGATAAGTTAGAGTATGAGTGGCAAAGTGGTACTGTACATTGGTTAGCTTTGCTGCCTCTTACTTCTGGGACCCTCGGTTGAATTCCTGGGGTGCTATCTCCATGAAGTTGAATGTTCTCTCACATGTTTGTGTAGGGTTTAGGGTAGGTCTTCTCCGGGTGCTCCAGTTTTCTTCCACAGTCTAAAGACATACTGGTAGGGTAATTGGCTTCAGGGACAATTGACCCGAGGTGTGAGTGTGTGTGTCTTCCTTGCAATGGACTGGTGTCCCGTCCAGGATGTACCCTGCCTTGTGCCCATTGCTTGCCAGGATAGGCTCAAGCTCAACTCTGATTTGGAAAAGTGATGGATGGATGGATAGAAAACGGTGACCAGCGAGCAAAATACTCAAGGGGAGAAAAAGGTTAGAACACTTCATTACTGGTTTAACATCCTGTAAAAAAGTCTGAATTGCCAAGCAGTAGCTAGCTATTCATGACTAGGGTGGCAAAAAACTCACTGGCACCTCATACCCACTGGTGCTTTTTTTAGTTTCACAACTGGTTCCCATAAAAAGGCTTCTTAAGTGAGACTCTGCTTTTTACATGCTTGAACTGAAACTAATATACCAGAGTTGGAGGCATATCTGAGGCAGCTCGTATATTGATTGGCTGACCTATCAGGGCCACTGTATTGCTGACCTTCCCTAGTCTGTTCAGCTGGGGAGCGGCACACTTGCACGTTTTCACGATGCTACATTCAGAGAGGTGCCAGCAAGGCTATTCCATTTTGTTTACCTTCAGAGTAGATTGCTGGGTGTACAGTGCTTGCCAATTATCTTGTTTTTGTTTCTCACGTTGTTTGCAACGGGGCGTGACGAGTTTACCCTCGAAGGCTAGTGAAAAGCCCAATTAGGCAACAGCGTCAAGGGACGGCCACAGAAAACCTAACGATTTTCAAAAAGCGAGCTGCCACCAGCTGAGATCATTTTTGTTTGCTGTGCTCCACAGTTAGGGCAACTTTGCAATTCCTTCCAATGCCTGAAGCCTTTAAGAATCTGATTAGATACTGAAGATCACACAGCCAGACTGTGTGAATCTGTCCAATTAATATGACAGTGTCCAGTCAAGGGGATCCAGAATAATGTAGAGAAGGCTTTCTGTTTCTTTTCTAACTCCTTGTTTATTCAGGAGGTGGGGAAAACACAGTGAACACAGTGTGCGTACTAAATAATGAGTCCAAATGGAAATTGAAAGCACAGATGAGATGAAACCATAAACCCCTTGTACCTCTTGAGGATCAGACAGTTGGGAACTGTTCACAGCTCTTTCGTGCACGGCTAGTTTCATTTGCTCAGATGTGTGGTTTTGTATCACACACTAGGAATAAAAGCACCCAAGAAGAAAGTGTCTTGAAAGGAGTATGGAGTGTTGAGTGAAAATGTGGCTTATGGTTGATCCAGGCTCCACAGATAGGACTGAGTGCCTCCAGTCTATCTGCTTCACAGACAGAACCGTCTCTCCGTTTCTTCCACAGATGTTGCTGTGCCTGCCAACCTTGTCTGTGGGATCCAGAACGTGTGAAGATGGCAAAGAAGTGGATTATAACCTTCTGTCTGTTTTTATGATCATTATTGTGCTGATTGTGACTTTTTAATTTGAAATGTATGCCACCTTGTTCAACTGACATCGTTTTTCGGACTAATTCCAAAATTGTTCTGTGAATGTGCACGTTCCATGTTCACTGTGCAGGCATAGGCTGGGTTGAAAAGGAGAAGCTGAATTCCCAGATCAGAATTTTGCGAGAACTTTATCTGCAGTAGCGATAGAATTTAGCCTGAACCATGGGAAATAAGGCTAGTTGGGTGAGAAAAGGTGAATATGATTTTGGCACTTGGGAGAAAGAAAGCACTTTTATTGCTCTGGCTGTACACTGCAGAGGGCAGCAAGATGGCCTGATGTTTGAGTTGCTGCTTCACAATTTGATTCCAGCTTGGGGATACCTTCTGTGTGGAGTTTTCACGTTCTCCTGTACTATGTTGGCTTTCACTGGGTGATCTGGTTTTCCCCCATAGTCCAAATTCTGAGAATGTTCTCAGAATGGGTGCTGTGCCACACATTAACACCCTTATGGTAAATGTACCATAAAGGATGTCTGCCGTAAAATGTAACACTCATTCTTCCTACATCAACTTCTCTCTGTCCTTTCTTTTTGAAAACAGCTTAAAAAAAAAACTCCTGCTGGAGTGCCCATATCAGACAGTACATCCTCCTAAAAAAGAAGTCTGTAATCAGAAAGAAAATGGATAAGAATGTCATGCACGGGTTTTTTAAGAAATTAAATAACAAGAATAATAAAACAGAGCGTTTGTCCCTGGTCGCTGAACATAAATGGTGTTTCTTCAGACCAATTGGTCTGTTTCTGGAATCCATCAAGAAACAGCTCATCGAAAGTCAGCGAGCAACCAGACAAACAAATTTTGTTTCTAACCTCTCATAAGCGCTTGAAAATCTTCTGGGAAAAAGAACCTCTTCCTGAACATAGCTGGTTACTTTAAAGATCAGGGATATCTGCTGATGTTGTTGCTCTTGAGGACTGGAATTTATGTGGCAGATCAGCAGTGCTAGTCTGTTGAGTTTCAAGCCTGTTCCTTCCACTGAAACCAAATGAGACAGTCCCAGGAAAGAGGTGGATTTGGAATGATCAGTTAGGGAACAGTCTGGAGCTGCCCCGTGCAATAGGCATCGATCTGTGGGAAGGCATCCAATAGAGTTTTTAAGGAATGGAGTGTTTTCTGGATTTGGCTGCCGTGGTCAGCATAAACTGTTCTTTGGTGGGTAGCTGCGTCAGCATGCGTAGGCTGCAAAGGAACAAGTAATAGATTTATTCCTTGCTGAAAAAAAGAAGAAAGAGAACACAACGTTTCGGCCGTGACACCTGAAGAAGGCTCCACGGCCGAAACGTTGTGTTCTCTTTCTTCTTTTTTTCAGCATGGAATAAACCTATTAATTGTTCCTAAACTGTTCTTTTCCTTTTTTCTGGGAGCAGTGGAATGTTTGTTCAGCAGTAGATGCTGTTTATCAATCCATCTAACCACTTCATCCAATTTGGGGTCACGGGGGGAGCCGTGCAAAGCACTGTACACCCTGAACAGGACACCGGACCATTGCAGGGCACACACAGAAACAAACACGCACGCGCCAGGGCCTGTTTTCCTAGAAGCCAGTTCACCTATCAGTCTGTCTTTGGACTGTGGGAGGAAACCAAAGCATCTGGATAAAATTCGCCTGAACACAGGGAGAACTTACAAACTCCGCACAGACAGGTTCAGAATTGAACCCAGGGCCCCAGGAATACTAACCACCATGGTACTATGTTGCACTAAAATCTGTTTATTTAAACATGAAGTTTCAGACTGCCTTTGATGGTGTCTATATCAAGATTTGATTTTTATGCCGGCCTAAAATCAATACTGTAGGCTAGAGATCAAGGAAATGCCTGGAAAAGAGCCACTTGAATAGGTTGTACATTTGTAATTTGTATAATAATTAAAAATTTCAACTCATATTAAAGTTCAATGGTCATAAACATACAGCACAGAAAGCTAGGTAAGAACTGCTTTAAACTGACTTTATACACCAGTTGTGGGTGATTGTAAAAAAACGGATTAATCGACAGTGGCTGTAGGGGGTGATTCACTAGAGTCTTTCAAAGCTCAGTACCAGGTGGTGGAGTCAGTAAATTAAACAAGATGGATGACTTCTTTCAGCAGTTACAGGTCTGATGTTCTTCCATTACAGAGAAATCCTCTTACCTTTAGACATGAAGCTTCCAGAAATCAGTCAATATGTAATAAGCAACAAAAGATTGTTACGGCAGTGTAGTTTCTGCAAGATGTGTTGCTGTGCAGGTTGACTGTGTGCTACAGAACGATTAAGAGGAGCACCTTGTCCCACTCTATGGCAAATAAGAAATAGAAAAGTGGGAAAATGCTGAAGGGGGTTATATAAAACTTGGACCAACAGTATTGGGAAATGTCACAGGTTCCTAACAGGACAGGGAGAACTTGAACATAAATGTTCCAGTCAGGCAACACATTGTATTCTGCAAGAACCTTCATCGGAAGCAAGATTTTGTTTTGTGGAACCAGTCAAACAATGAATCACATATTTATTTCATTTAGTGCCTTTGCATGGTGATTGTCATCTTCCAACAGAGAGTTGGGATTACAAGGTGGTACTAATTTGTAGCAGTGTTTTTACGAAATGAACAGATTTTTATATTAAAAGCATTTATGTCCTTTTAATAAGCTTATTTAGTGGCTGTACCATAGTCAGAACTTAACATCTGCTGATGGGTTTAGCTTCTGGGGAGTGTGATGTGAAACTGTTATCCTGTATGTGACCGTAAAGAGGTGAGAATTGGAATCACATTGCACACTGCAGCAGGGTCATCTCTGTAGGGGAATGGAATAACTGAATCAAATAAATCTGTTAACCTGCCACACTGTCCTGTCTGTTTCTCCATTTCAATATACACTATACACTTTGTAAAAATGCAAAGGAAAAGGAGGAAATGACCAGATCCAGATTTTTTCATAACCCCGATAAAATAAGAACAAATGCCAACAATTGGAATGAGATTGCATAGTGTCTTTCTTAAAACAATTGTAAAAATGTTCAACTGTAATCACGGTAGTATTGTGTAGAACGAAGCCATATTCATCATAAATTGATTGCAAATAAACGAGTCACATTTATTTACACCTCTTCGTATTCTCATAAAACCCAACTAAAACACAGCTACAGTAACATTCTGCTCTTTGGAAGTTTATTGGTGGCATCTGGTACTATGTACTATAGGAGCCTCAGAAGATTTCTTGTTTTCCTCAAGTATAAAAAAGGAAGTAACACATGGAAGTCATTCAGTAGCGGCATCTATCATCTGGTTTAAGTTAGAGAGCTCTCGGAAGATTCTCCAATAGTACGGTAAAAGCTTCAGATATGTAAGTATATCTTGCCACCATGGCCAGTAAGACAAGTGATTTGCGTGTCAGTTGGAGATCTCCAACACAGACTGACATCTTCAGGATGTACTTGAAAAGCACTGTAGTATTCAGTGCCCTGTACATGAATAGAGAGCCAGCCTTACAAACAGGTGGAGGCTGAGGGCAAACCACAAAAATGGATGACTCAAATTTGCCAAAATATATCTAAATAACAGTTGGAACCATGTCTTGAAGTCAAATGAAACGAAAACTGGGCTTTTTGAACATGCTTATCAGCGCAATGCTTGGTGTATACAAGCTGTATTTTCTGTTGAAACAAACACTCATGACTGCTGTTAAATGTATTAGAGGTCATTTATGATTTGGGGCTTTTTTGCATTTCCTGGAAGCCTTGTTAAGATAGGAGGAATCTCACAGAAGGAAGGCAGTTCACAAATGGGAAGAAAGTGCAATTTTGCCTAGAGAGGAATGGTCAGAACTCCTCTCTGAGACGTATCAGAGCCATTATAGCACAGGAGTAATCCCTGCAGAGCAATATTTACTAACACAAACTGCTGCACTCAATTAATTAATGTATTATCTAGAATTATTTTTTGACAAATACAACTCTTTCTGAGACAATTAAAATACGTTTTTTTTTTCTGAAGGATGCGTCCAATCTGCAAACCTTTGTTATATCCTGTTTTTTATTCTTATTCCATGGGGCGTATGAATAAATCTGGAATGGACTGGGCATTTAAGTGTTCATGTAGTGGTAGCTAAATATAAAAAAGTACACAAAAGTATTCCACTTTCTTCATAAATATTTTATGCGTCAAAGTCCTTAACTTGGTGACTTACAGAGGGTTATGCAACAGTTTTAACATGCTTGTTCTAACTAGTTTTAACTCTTGTTCTAAGTCCTGAGCTACTCCCAGGGGGCGCTATTGCCTGGCAAACCAAGGATAATTTGCTTATCTGATTTAACACACCCAGTTTCAGTTCTTCATGGGATCTCAGCCCACCAGGCTCATATCTGTGATGTCTGAACAATAGGGCTAAATGTGCAGTTTGAATGCATACTCATGATATCTGAATCAATATTCTCATCAGTGTGCCATTCTAATTAGTTAGGGAACCCTGTGTGTTTGAGGCATCTCCCAGATTAAAGAGCAGCAGGGTGCAATCTCAGTGACATACTGATACACATTGAGAGCCACCACATTCCTAGTTTGTAACATAGTAACAGTGAACAAATGTTCACTAGGACAAGTACACAAGAGCTCACAAATTACACACACTCTATTTCTATGCTTACACTGTGGCTACAGTCGGGTGTAATTGCCTAGGATGCCCATCAGCTTCAGGAGAAATAGACTCAGTTCAACGTGCTTGTAGTGACACAGTGTTCTTTCGTTTAATAAAACTTTATTTTTAGACCACTCACATCTTTTGCTGTATACAACAGACAATTGGTAGGTAAAACAATGCTCTTTATTTACAGTATAGTGACTACAGAACAAGAGAGCTATAAAAACAAAAATCTTGCTTTTCCAGGCTATAACTAACTCTGTACTCTCTTTTTGACTATGCCAGGCGGTTAAGTTGCTTACTGGATTCAAAGCCAAACACACTTTGTTTCAATTTACAACTGTCTCAAAGGCCCATACTTTATTTCCTTTCCTCTCTGGTGTGGTGAGAGAAGTTTTGTACACAACCATATGGGATTTCAATATAACTACATTTAGCTAGTGAAACTAAATTCAACTGAAATTAAGTTCAATTAAAAAATTAACAAGAAACTGTAAAAATACTACAAACAGAAAACGTAAAACAGGGACCTGCAACACATCATCTCAGTAAATAACTCCAGAGCGCAAGTTCAATGCTAATGGTTGTTGGGGTTGGTGTTGAAAATGTAGACTACAGCAGGTAACACAAGGTAGGCCTTTGATCGTCCCATAAAAAGGCAGAAATGAAACAGTGTTTCTCAGGACTGGAAACATGACAGCAGATGTTACAGGTATACTTCAAAATTTATCTCACAGAAAAAGAGATAAGAGTACAGACTACAGAAAACACTCAGCAGTCCAAACAGTACACTTCCGCGGGTATGCTGACTGTTTACAGATAGGCAAAAGGAAATTCACAAAGGACATATTTGAAAGGGAAGTAACTCCTAGTTGGACTCTCAGCTATACAACTCTTCACTATATGTGACTTCCTCATAAACCTTTGATCACCTTGTTAATTCAAGATTATTACATGACTTGCCACCATGTGTCCCGAGATTCAGACTCTAATTGATTGGATTCAACTGCAATAGTGTACCTATCCTCAGAGAACAAAGCTTCAACAGGTCAGATAAGCACTGAAAAAAGAGCAGATTGCATGCAGCTGAAGAGATACACAAAGCAAGGATGGCCAGCGACAAAAAGCCAAGGAAATGGCAAAATATTCCCTCCCCTACTGGCCAAAACAGACGGATATACACATAGCAGATGTGCTGATGAAGACAGACAGATTTGTACAGTAATTTTGAATCACTTTAGATAAAAGATGCTGGCAAAACTCCATGAAGAACATCAGGGAACAGACAAAGCCTTAGTAAGAGCAAGCAAATGCTTCTGGTGGCTTTGACTGGAGAGAAATAAATTATGTTGCAGCAAAGGAATACTGGTCTAGGTTCACTGAACTTGAAACCTACCATCATTAACCACATCAAAGACGACCGAGAAGAGCAGATTTGCTCAATTTGGCGTGCCAGAGATGCAGAGATCACAAGTCTCAGTTTGTGTCTTCTGCATTTGCTAACTCTGCAGCACATTACAGCTTTGTTCACAGCAGAGGCAGAGAGAGGTATAAAAACTATAAAATGCTTCTCACTCAGAACATTATCTTCAG